GTTAAAACTCTGACTTTTTCCACGCATTATACTGAAATAAAATTTAAAAATCTGTTAACTTTTTTTTTTTTTAGTGGCCCTAATCCTCTTCCGTAGAACCACAGCACTGAGAGTAGGTCAAACTTTTGAATGAGATGAATGTGCTGCGTTTGACAGCATACTGATTGAGTATGCTGTCATTGGGAGTGCTACAACATATCTAAGCTCATCACATGCAACTTTAAATTTCTCGTAGATCCTCAATGCTCCAATTTTATGAAGAAAAGAAAAAAGAATGTCATTGCTTTTGGTCCAAAAAATGCAAGACATTTAACTGCCAACTTAGCTTTATAAACCTAAATGTCACAGATCATGCAAAAAAAAACAAAAACCAAAAGGATTTTTTAATGAAAACAGGGCAGACACCAGGGTGTATTGTTTAATCGTTTTTAAATGCTATAGTTACTCTGTTAATGAATAGAATTTAAAATCTCATTAGGATCACAGTCTATTTACATTTTCTCGTGGTTGGTCTAGCAGGGACTATGTGGAGGAAAACCCTTTATATCATTAGAAACCTTAACAAGCACTTATTCTGTGTTATTCAGCTCTGGAACAGAATCATTGCAACCTGAATAAGTGGAAACTGAAGCCTTATTTGAACCAGGATTGATATTACAGCTTGCTAAATGTTTCCTCCTAACATTGAAATATTTTATTTACTTGTTCAATTGCTATATTAAGTTTTACCTTTTTTTCCTGAAAAGTTTAGATTTTTTTTTTCTCTACATGTGCATTTTTTCTTTAAAACATAATCGCATTGTTGATGAATGCCGCAATAAAGTATACAAATAGACTCGCCTCAACTACAATAAAGTATCGGTTAAAAACTTAAAAAACAAAATGAATAACTTTCATTTTTAATTAAGGTAAAAATATATATTTTTTTGTTTTTTACTGTATATGTTAAGAGTAATCACAGGATGAGCAGTCTAAAATAAAGATTAGCTTTCACACCCTATAAGCTGGAGTTTAATTCCCTCTAAATGTTTTTACCACACTGCCAATAAATCTTAAAGAGTTGATGTGAAGTAGTTAGCAGTTGATGTCTGAGGAAACTAGATCCAAGCCTGTAACTAGTGTTGCATCGATGCCATTTTTTGGCCCCGATGGACCAGTGACGGCGCTCCAGTGAACGGCCACTGGGTCGGACGGGGCGTTCTTCCAGGTCACATCACCTGGGCAACGACAGTGCATCTTCTCCCATCTTACATAGTCTGTATTTCAAAAGGGGAGCCCCGCTCGTAGCATTGATGTCAAGCGCTGTGTTTTGGCCTGAGGAATCATTTAAAATAACTCATATGCTTTAACTCTTTAGGTCACAAAGTCCACAGTGTTCCTTGAATAACATCAGCCAACATCACAACATTTCCCAAAAACAGAGACAGTAAGTAGTTCTCCTTAAAATACATAATCTTTATTGAGACAAGAGTGCCTGGTAGTGGGATTACAGCTCAGCAATGGGCTTGTGAGGCCAGTAAGGATGTTTGGCCTTGTCTAACTTGGTCTCAGGGAAGGCATCGTTTAAGTCTTCGATGGTCATCTGATCGAAGGGAATCATGTTCTTAAATTTATCCAGCTGAACACACAAAAAAAGAAGGAGAAAAGTTATGTTTAAGAACATACCTAAAGACCTTGAACCAGTATTAACTCCCAGCTTCAAACACAGTCTTACCTCTTGCTCATACATAGTGATGCGTGCCTTTGATGCTTCTATGTAGGCTGCTGCATTTTTGTTCTGGTAGAAGTGGAAAAACAAAATATAAAGTTAATTAAACTACAATGCCATATAATAGGAGTATATTATCAATAAAAAAATTTGTATGTTCACTTTTTAAAAGCCAGATACATTTTAATATTTTCCATGAAAAAAAAAAGATGTATAGCCACTCACAGCTTCAGCCTCCTGTGTGTTGATGGTGGCCGTCTGTGTGTCGGCAGGCTCAGGGATCTGCAGGGCTTTAAACTGTAAAATGAACAAGATACACATCTCATCACTGCGATGCACAAACCCGAGAAGAGTTTTTTGTGACATAAACCATCTGGATGACCACATACTAAAGAAAAACTGTCCGTTTAGAGAGATAACATCTTTTATTTCCCTTTTTTAATGCACAGTTATAAAAAGATAAAAACCAGTAAAAATCTATCTAGATTAATTTCAGCACAGAATAGGCAAAATCTTAAATTCTTTAGATCACATTTTTTCATGGGAACACTGATATTGTTAAGTGTTTGGAAAGAAAAATGACCTTCTTCTCAAACTCATCAACCATGCCTGCTTTAGCCACGGCGCTCCTGTAGTAGCTCCAGTCGATGGGTGCAGGAGTCTCAGGCAATGAGGCCAGTCTGGTATGAACAGAAGAATCAGTTTTAACACACAAAGCAGAAAGGAATGGTGAGCAGACAAATGTGTATAAACATTTGGAATAAATAAACAAAAATGTTGCAATGTAATCACAATGTGATAAAAGGAAGATACCACCAAAAGAAATCCTGAAGAAACAAAAAAAAGTTCATTGTACCTGTAACTCAAAGGTCACAAGTTTCAGAAAAAATTTGGGTTAAGGTTGCAACTAACGATTATTTTGCAAATCGATTATTTTTCCAATAATTCAAATAATAATCTGATAGCAAAAGGTTACTTGAAGATTTTTCACAAAGTTAAACCAGGTGAAACTAAAACTTTTCCAATTTAGGAGCTCCGCATAGAGCATATTGACTGACGGAAAGCTTTTAAAATCTTAACTGCAATTTTGATATAAATACTGCTCTAACTGGTTTGCTCTGTCAGCTAAAGGCATCTTTTATAGTCTCTACACTCTAGTTAATGATCGATGAATAAATCACGATTAACCCAATTAATTATTGCAGCCCTAATTTGGCTTAATGTAGTAACGTGCTAGTCTGCCATACCATTATTATTATTATTATTATGTCAGTTGAGTCTTTCGAGCCTTTTCTTTAGTAGATGAAACCAATTGTGGTGATTGCTAACCTGGCCAATCACACTTACTACAGTATAATTTTGGGAATGTTGCCCTAGTGGTTAGAGCAGTGTGCTTGTGCTCTGAGAAGGTTGCAAGTACCTGGTTAAATACCCACAGCCTGCACTCTGGTTCCCTGAGCAAGAGCCTTAACCCCCACAATGCTCTCTAAGGGGAGGGGTTAAAATGCAGGGGTAAATTTCTTCAATGTGAGATCAATAAAGTTAAATTATTATTAAATGTAGTTTGGTAAACTGCCTTTGACTGTGGCCAGATCTGGCCGGACTAATCACAGCGGACTATAGGGTGTGTGTAGCCTGGGTGCCAGTCCGAACTTAGTCCCGCCCACAAGGTTTGAGTTCGGGGAAGTTCGGTCTGGCTCTGCTCCATAGTAGCGCGAGTATTATCGCCCACTGTCAGGCGATCCAATCAAATTGTCAGGGCGGGCTTTATACGATGATTGACAGATGATCAAGAGTAACGTAATCAACCACGTGACCAAAGCGCGCTTCGGTGACAACAATAATGGCTGCCGCTGGAGAGTTTGGGTGAGTAGATTCTGCTATTAGGTCTGTTCTAGAAGATATCGACAGCAAATTAATTTTAAAAGAGGAACAGAGAAACGCGATCAAGTCTCATCTTCTTATTCTAGGCGTGAAACTGCACGCTTTGATTTTTGTGGACACCAACTATGCCTCGCTTAACATACGTCACGCACTCCTTTGCTCTTATTGGTTGTAGGTCTATCCAATTGAGTGCAGAGGCATTTTTTTCCTGGTTCGTTCGAAACACGCCCCATAATCACAGCTCTATGGAGCAGTATCAGACTCATATTCTGACTAGAATTGAGTCGGACTACGTCAGGCTAGGGTGTGTGACTCTCAGTGCCAGAATCACCAAGTTCTCTGCTAACAACTAGCTTGCTAACGAAAGAAGCAGTTGCAATACATTTTGAGAAGGGGAGAGCACACCTTATATCCTCAGATGTTTTTAGGCAAAACTGTCAGAAATGGCAAACTGGAGGGTTTCTTCGATGGCTTGACACATGTCACAGACTACAAAATAAAAAAAAAAATAAAAAATAAAAAATAAAAAAAGGGAAGCGCTTTTTAGTTTTGATTCACATCCGTAGTCATCAGATTGGTTCTAACCTGCTGAGGCCGACCCTGTTAGTCCCACCTCAAACTGTACCAGCTCTGTACCAGACTAATACGTCATGCACATATTAGTCTGGCGGGCCAGGCTAGTTGATTGCTGATTTAGGCTTAAACAATAATTAAAACCTACTTGTGCAAGTTTCCAGCCCATTACAAATCAGATTATTGAATCTAAAGAGCACATATTTGCTTAATTTTGAAATTCAGAAGATATCCCAGCCTCCTAGCTGAATAAGCCTATTCAAATAATGATTATCTAAGCTTTACTTTAAGATACTGAACCTTTCATCTCCATTTACCAGTTTTTATTTTTGGCATCTTGAAAATAGCACAAAATAGCTAGAAAAGAAAGATTTGCTTAAAGTATTCACTACGTGTTATTTTTACGGTATGCATTTTTTTAAAACAGGATTAAATTTGTTTCTTTGCTCTTTTAGAACCAACTTTCAGAAACAAAGATATCTTCCTAATGCATGAATTGTTTAGTTTCGACCTGGGAGTAAAAACAAAGACAAGATCTACCTTCACCTCAACCAAAACATGAAAAAAAAAAAGCCAAATTAAATCACTGCTACAACCCACGGGATACGACATACTTTGCAGAGATGGCATCAGTGCGAGTCTTCAAGGCGTTGAACATGCCTCTCTGGTTGGGTGGCACCCGCTCAGCAAATGCCAACCAGTCAATAGCTTTCAGGGCTGCACGACGGCCTGCCATCTTGACTCTCTGAAAACAGAAAAGTCATTATATAGTTGTACAAATGGTCAACTCAGCCAGATGAAACAACATTTCACATTTCTGCAAAAAGACAAATAAAACATGGTTCAGGTAGTCTTTAGAGAAAGGATGGCCTGAGCGCTTTTTACGTTGCTGCAGTGATATTATGTAAAGATGAAAGTTATTACACTTCAAAACAGATAGTCTATGTGCCATGTCCTATCCACTGATATACTAATAATCCCCCCGTCTTGGTTATCTTTGGCTTAAATTCTCAGTTTTAACAGTTAACATAAATGTTGGGGATGCAAATTATTTCAGAACTTCAGTTCTATTCAATTCTGTGGTTTTATTTTTTTAACTTTACAAATGTTACGTTTCTAAGTGCTCTTTGAGATCAAATTATTAGCTTTGACATGGAGGTGTTGGGTAGTTCTTTTGTAGGTCCCTGAAAAAACGCATTCAGTTACTCAATAGCAGAATAATAAACAAACAGAGCACAAACATTGATACAATAAAAATAAAATAACAATGGGGAGTGCACAGTAAATGCGATTCTTCATTGCAAAAATGCACTAGAACAATGAGAATGTGTGTTAATTATGCTCGTATTTGTAAACTGACCACAAACATATCACACAAACTTAGATGAAAAACCTTTACGTAATATTCTGTTCTTGTCTGTTATTTGTAATTATAAGGGTAAAGAGTCTAACACATTAAGAGCTTTTACGTAGAAAGAAATTGGTGTATTTTTGATACCTTTAGCGGCATCAATTCAACACTAATATTTTCGTTTAATGCCTAACAATGACCTGTGCACAGTAGAGCGTTTTATCTAAAATAAAAACTTTAAAAAATATATATATCAAAATACAGCAAGAACTGGTTAAAGTCGCCGTCCTTGACATTTTCTAACATTAACACTAGCTAATGTTAGCTCGTTTGGTTAGCCTGCTAGCCAAGGTCAGACGTTCCTGTTTGAACAAGAGCGTTTTTTTCAATACACCCAGCCTCCCGTGTGTTGACCGAACAATTCACCCCATCATGGAACAGTCGTGAAACGGCACGATAGTTTTCTACACAATTATTCTCTCTAAATCTTCCAGCGGTTAAAGCAGTTGTGAACTCACCTCGCTGCAGATAACAGTGACAGAACGGAGCAACGGAAGTCCTTTCTTCTTGAGCTGGAATGAACGCAGCAAGCGGGGAGACACTACTGCCCCCTACTGGACGGATTAAAAACGTGCATTTGATTCGAATCATTTGCAGGGACTGTTCCAGAACGCTTCGAAAGGGAGCCGGTGAGGCTTCTTGAGAACCCAAAGCATGTGTGTAGTAGTGACCTGATAATAACTCTCATGGTCAAATGTAGGATTATGTATGGCTGGGTTCTCTCGTAGAGATATTTCTAAAATGAAAATTAATTAATAATTAAAATCAATAATTTCTATATATCACTCATTCAATTTAATAAAAAAATCTTTATTAATCCCAAAAGCAAAATAATAGCATTTCACAAAGTATTTGAAGACTCAACTTTATCTAAATATTTGACAGAAATAAAATGAAAAATAAAAAAGTGATAGTTTCTTCAAATAGTTGTTTTAGATTAGAATGATAAACCTTAAACATGGATCACAAGCCTTATCTTCTTAATTCTATGTAGAGTATGAGTTCAGAAAATTCACACATAAATGAAAACAAAAAAGAAATATTTGTATGTGTTGTCACTTAAATAAAACTGATGTATAGACTATTTAGTCATAATTTGATTTCATAGACTTATAAAAGTCAAAGAATGGACTTGATGAGCTGTGAGATGTTTTAAGAAAATTTTACAAAGACATTTGGACATTTGTAACATGTAATAAATTCACATTTGATATTATCTTTCACATGAATTCTGTCTTCTCATTAAGCAAGGTAAATTGTCTTGTAAATATTCATAAGTACAAAATCCGTATATTAGATTGAATCATTACAACTTTGTTTTCATCGTAAGAGCATCGTGTTAATTGATTGATATTTATAATCAATATTTTAACATGTAAATCTAATTTAATTCATCAAGGTTTTATTTTGGCAGATAACTGGGGCACTTTTTGGTTCTTTATAGAAAATATGTGAACATGTTAAACAATTTAATTTCTTAATTTACCATTTTTAAGGTATCACACAAATATACAAATATTGATCTGGTGATGGCCTTTTTTCAGTTTTGGATATATTGGAATGAAGTGCTATTTGTCTCACACAATGCAAGCCCTTGAACGAGCAGCTGATGGACCAAGTTGGTTTAAATAACGTATGATTTTCATTAAATAGGGTTAAAAAATAAGCTGTACAAATTCCCTATAATGGAGGTTGAAGCTTTCGTGTAGCATTTGAATCCGACTTATCTGGATTTCATACTATCTGATGACATAGCAGCATTTCTTATTTTAAACTGCAGAGCCTTTGAGGTCAGATATCCATTTGTCCTTTTTAATAATACTGTATCCAGGCTACATGTGTTTAAATTCAACTTCATATGTGCATGTAATTCTATAGTGGCACTAAATCAGTTTTACATTTGGATTAAAGATGTTGTTTTTTCTGAAAAAGGAAGCGGAAAAGGAAAATGTTGGAGTTTTTCCTTATCTCGGATTAACTACAACAAAATAAAAAAGCAAAAGCAAATATATTTTAACATTTAACGAGCACATTTGGGCACCAAAATGTTGAATAAGCAAATTTAACACTAATACAGAAGTTTTAGAAAAGATAGGAGGAAAAAAGAATCACCAAGCAGGAACAAATTCCCTATTTTGACATTTCTCAAAGTAGCAATCAGGTGTGGAGGTCTGGCAAACTTCAAGAGGCTGTGGAAGGAAAACAATCATCAAATATGCAGAAAGTCACAAAGCAAAACAAAAGTCATTGTTAAAGTTTATAACTTGCACACATGAGACACAAATGACGCAACTGCATCAAATACAGATAGAGAAGTTTCAAGTCTTTAAATGTTTTATTAAAGTCAGTTTTTTTGTTTTTGGATTTTTTGTACAAAGATATGTACACGGTACAGATACAAAGACATTCAATAAATACAACTTTTCTTGCCCTTCAAATAAGGCTGCAATGCTTATTCTGCAACACTACACATTTTATTTACAATTAGCAAAAAGGAAAAAAAAAACTATACCATTAAGGCCATATTGTGAGGGTTAAAATCTAATAATTTTATTTCTAAAATATAATTTGGTCCCTTTTAGTGGTTTTTACAAAATATAGAAATTTGAACTGCTGGGAAAACAGCAGATTCAACGAAGAATCACACTTGGATAAAAACAGAAACAAATGACAATAGAGTCGCGGTCATAAGGCACAGACACAGAATAATAAGTACTTTTCTGTTACATTTTCCTTTGATTTTTTTTTCCTGCAGCTCTTGATTCGGACCGTAGTGGATCACCTGAAATGAAGGCATTTATTTTTTCTGAGATATTTAAGGCTAAATTGGGCAAATCATTTAGTCCCAGAAATGTGCGCATGTTTATAAAACATGTCTCAATTTGACTTTGAGGTTTTATTTCGATAATACAAAATTCTTTCCATTCCCAAACAGTCTGACGAAATTCCTAAGACAAATAATACATCCCATAGGTGACGGGTCCGCTGAACAGTCCCGGGACCGGCAGGCTGGGCCTCGGAAAGGCGCTGGAAGGACCCCAAGACGGAGCGCTCATGTGCGCTCCGAGGGGGAAAGGCAGTGCGAACGCAGGTAGGACAGGCTTAGAGGCCAACTTAAACTTCTCCAGCTCGGCCTCTTGCAGTCTCTTGGCTTTGGCTCTGCGGTTCTGGAACCAGATTTTAACCTGAGTCTCCGTAAGGTTGAGAGAGTTGGAGAACTCGGCTCTCTCGGCGATGGAGAGGTACTGCTTCTGGCGGAACTTGCGCTCCAGCGCCAACAGTTGGGAGGTAGTGAACGGTGTGCGAGGTTTCCTGTTGTTTTTGTGCTTCCTTAGAGTACACTGAGTGGGGCTGGAGCTCCCTGTTGAAGAGAAACGGGAAAATATTTAAGATTAGTTCGACCTTAGATCAGCTGATGCAGGATCGGACCGCAGTGGATCAACTGGAATTGATCCACTGCGGTGCATCAGGCCATTTTGAGCCGAATGCATGCATAAAGTCATAAATCTAAATACAAATTTGTGTTCAAAACAAGAGTTGCAATCATTTGATTTAACTTTATAGACCACTTTCTACTTCCAATCGGCAAATAAGACAATCTGTATTTGATTGCACTGTAAGATTAAACTGTGCGCAACTCTAATTAACAGTTTATATTGAATCGATCTGAATTTTAAGTAACTTAACGTGAACTTGAACTTTTTTTTTAAATAGTAAAACACCCTGATTACTTTGTGGTGCCTTTACTGATTGAACCAAATGGATTTAAAGTATCTCATGTAAATTACAGGCCTGCCTAGTAAAGAAAATAATAACCAGGAGTTTAAGGTATAATAAAAAAAAAAATAAAAATCAGATGCAAAAGTTTAAGGTATAATAAAAAAAAAAATAAAAATCAGATGCAAAAATATAATTTTGGATTATTCTATTTATCCACAGGAGGAGAAAATGCAACCCGTGTTGAGGGAGAATAAGCGTAATTTTAATGGAGTAGTTCAACTTATTTTGATAAAAGAATGAATGGACAATCCATTACGCACTGTTGTCTTCTACAGCTGATGGGACGGACTTACGTGGAGGTGTAGAGAAGGTGGACGTCTGGAACCAAGTGCTCTGATCTTTGTCACAAAACTGCGCACAGTCCTCCCCGGAGCTCCTGGGAACTCCCTGCGAACTCTCTCCAGAGAGCCTTTTCTCTGCGTAAAAAGTCCTGGGAGAAAACTGCGCGCCCTGAGCGGACCCTGGGGTCTGCAGCACAGCAGAGTCAGAAGCTGGGTAAGAAGTCCGACAGGTGCTTTTCTTGGAAATCAGCGACTCGACGCTGAAGGGAAGGCTGCTCCGCGGCGGTTTGTATCCTTTCTCCGTGGTCATGTCTTTAGGCTGAAGCTCGTCACCCTCCGCGTTTTCCGCGTCCTCCTTTTGGTGGAGCTGCAGTTTGGCGTCTTGAGACGGTGACCCCTGCGCAGGATTCATCATGGTAAAAGAGGCTGGGGCCATGCACATCGGCGTGGCCCGTTTAGAGGTATGCTGCAACCCAAGCGTGAGGTCTCCACTGTGAGGCTTTCAGCCTGTCAACAGTGCCCAGTAGCGTTTTTTACGCACGGGACGGGGGTCTTCTATAAAAGGACCGGGGCTGTTCCCCTTTCTCCGCTCCCTCCAATGAGCTCCTCCTGCTGGCTCTGTGACGTCTCAGCCTGCGGGTTTGATTGGCCCACTGCCTTTTTTTATTTGGATAGGACACCGAGAGGCCTGCGAGAAGGCAAGGGGACTTTAATCATACAGACCCCATGCAGAGCGGGGTTATTGATGGCGCTCACAAAGTAGCTTTGACCAATTTTAGCGCAATTAAGCTGTGGGGAGGACTTCCCTGCGTATTTACATCCATTAACAGCAGTACAGCGAAGTATTTTACTGTAAATACGCACAATGGCATTAATATCAGAGTAGATTAGAAACACATGAAACAAAAACTAATTTTTGTTTCATAAAATATTAAAATCTGATTCCCAGGAGATCAAAGCAATTGGAATGCTAACAAAATTATAAAAAAAAAAAAAAGTCCTTCCGCACCTAGAATAGAAATTGATTAGGTATGACTGTTGGTCACACAGCATTACAGCAATTTAAAGGCTGTCAGCAGCTCTTCTTCCTCACAATGGGCTCGGCTGAGAAGCAACAGGCGTTTTCTTTCTCCAGGTCATACTATTTAATAAGCCAGACAAAGTTGCGTTTTGCAAGGCGCCAGGCTCGGCAGGATCAAAAAGGGAAGATACCTCGGGGAGGGAGAGAGAAAAAAAGCAACTGGGTAACTCCACTTAACCAATTGTCCTCTGAATATTTCATAGTCCGCTGCGTGGAGCTGGGAGGAAGCAGGCAGAGGGCTGCAGCTCATGCTGGACTGCTCAACTAAAGCAGGAGACTGAACAGCAGGAAGGTGAGCTGGGTCCAAGTGATTGGTTATTGTGATAAACAGTGAGCTCCTGTTTTAAAAATGAGAAATATATAAATGTTCTTACATTTTCAGTGTTAAACCAGGTAATTTGGGCCTTAAAAAGTAACAGCTT